TGAGGAAGCTATTTAACAGGGCCAAACGAAACGGGGCCCTCTGGGGTAAATACAAGACATCCCTGACTACATATGGCAACGCCATCAAAAAAGAAAAAAAGGGCTTCATGAAGGAAGGAATGCAAGGATATCGAAGATATGCCGAGCTACGCCAGACTCTATAAAGCACTCTCAAAAGAACCACAGCCTGTATATACAGGGTGAGTTTTTTCGATGACTAGTACACGGATCTTCGGAACTAGAGCAGTTACGAAGAAGGTCAAATGGACAAAGAATTGCAGTTTTGAATGCTCTACTCAAAACCAGTTTTATTTTTCTAAAGCTTGACAGCTGTGAAGAGATATTTGAGAAAAACTTATTTATGGTAAATTTTTAAATTTCTTATAATTCCGTTGATAGGAAAACATTAGATAGAAAACTTGTAGAAAATTGAATTCCAATCGAAATGGCATTAGACATTTCTCCAAAATAACTGTCAATTTTGACATGACACAAATTTGAGTTTTTTTAAATGTCAACCATACTTGATTATTGCCTTACCGAATAGAGCATTTTATTGCGATTTCTGAGATATACCACATCGTTAGCTTTTTTTGGAAAATAACGCGTTTGCGAACAATTTATTCTTTTTCAGTTTAGTTGATCATAGTTAGCCATGGAAAATAGTATACGACATACAGCATTGTTTCCATAGTAACAAATAATAACAGTATGCTTCAGTATTTATTTTGACATTTAAAACTACAATTCTTTGTCTCTTTAACCTTTTTTGTAACTGCTAGTTTCGAAGATCCCTGTACCTCACCCTGTATAAAAATACGAATCCATTTTTGTTATAATATTTTCAACATCAACTGGAAGTAAGTCAGATGCTGTTTGAATAGGATTATGTAGAATGTGCGGTGCACAACCTAATCCAATAATGTTTTGTTCAAATGTTCGTTAAGTTTGGTAAAAACGTTATTGATGCTCTTCTAGCTTTTCCACCAAAATTTGCTTTCGTATTGTCTGCACAATAGGCGATAATTTTGTTGTTCAAATCGTTCTTTTTTTAAATAGTACTTATTGAATCAAAAGTTATTTGTATCGTTTCACCCGGCAAACAAGCAAAATCTAATATTCTAAATTTAATTCCTGTGTCTGGATCAAAACTCCAAACAATTGTGGGAACTAATTTTACATTTTTGTGGTTGGAAGCATGAGAATATATGGATATAAATACACATTTTTTCTAATTATTTCTGCAATTGTAAAAACGAATATCGTGAAAACACATTACAAATAATTGTTTCGTTTTTTGTCCTTGTACGTGCAATCTTTTTTTAATGGAAATTATCTTAATAAATCTGCTTAGCTCTTCATTAAATTTGCATTTTCCTTTTTTACTCACCTTTTATTCTGTGGGTAAATACTAGAAATTAATAAAAAAAATTACTACAAACGCTAAAAAGGAGTATTAACTTTTACCTTATTGACAGTTAAGTTGTGGCGACATTGCTCTACCTTGGTAAATTAAATAATGAGTCAAACCGAACATAAAATTGAAAACAACAAACCGCACTGTCTAAAAGCAGTTCGCACTGTCTGCACTTATCTGAATTAAATCTAGACTTAACGACAATGATCGAACACCACCGACAAAATCTAACTCGGTACATTGCCTAATTTAGTTTATACTCTGCATGCATTTTATGTGTTTGTTTCATGTATTTTTTATTTCTTTATATTCACCATAATACGTAATAACTAATAGGGAATATATTTTTACAGTACGTTTAAAATAAGAAATGCAGATACTTTACAAAAAGCGGGACGTTTTTAAAAATCGGCGGAACGCACTTTAAACTCATCGGTTAATTGGTTAACTCTTATCCAAAGCACCATACAGTATATTTGACAGGTACTTTAAAGCATTTTTAGTGCCAATGTTTTTTAAGAAACCAAACTGGTGCTCAGATATTACATTGTGCATTTCTAAAAAAAATATAATTTTATTATACAGGGTGATTCAAAATTGGCGGCATTCCTCTGGGGGTGTTGTCTGGCGGTGTTTTGGGAGTACGAAAAATTGTAAAAAAATTAATTGTTATTAATAACTGAGATATTTGAAATATCTAATGCTGTTCAAGGTAATCTGCCTCATTAACATTACAAATTCCTGTTACTTCTTAATTATTTCAAACTGCAGTAACAATCGGAAAACAGAAACACAACAAGACGGAAGGTGGGAATTAAATGTTTCGTTTTTTCTTTTCGAACGGTTAAGTATTCCAGTAGGCTACCAATCAAAGATGAGACCATTTAAAAATAATACTTAATAACAAAGTTGAAATTCGATCTCCAACTGTTAATATCTTCTAAAAATTAGTTTTCTATATTTTTCTCGCTCTCTCTGAGTGAGCCCCTATAGCCCTTAAAAAAATGACGCCAATTTTGAATCACCATGTATAGGTTCAATCTCCGCATAAATACGGAACTGTGTTAATCTTTCCGCGGGTAGTAGTGGTAGTAGTTAGTAGGCTGCTCGCCCACGATCCGCACTCCACTTTCAGAATAGCATTCCGGACACATGAGAACCAAGCTTAACAAGCAGTAAACAGTACCAGTTGCCAAGAATCAAATCCAACCGGAATGAACCTTTCTACCATGTGACATGCCGCATGGTGAATCAGGCGATAAAATTTTAACTTCCTGTTACGGAATGTTAGCTGCTCTAATAGTTTAACCACTCTGTTGAAGATTGTTAATTAATATTGTACCTTTGCCACATGAAGATCCACTCCGTACATATCCATCCGCTTAACATGATCTAAGAAAGTGAACTCTGCATCAACTGGTAGTTGTCCCCTGTAAATAAACCAATATTACAGAGTGAAAAACTCATAAATTGATAACTAACAAAACGAGTAAATTAGAGAATACTGTTAAGCAGTTGTGCACAAAAATTCAGGATTTAATTTCCCTACAAAATAATGTAAATCTTATAATTGATGACACAACTCACTAACCTAACGCATTCATACCATAAATATTCGATGTTCAGAAATTCCCAATAAGAGGTTTGATTTTGATATTAAAGAACGAGTATTTTTTAAGAGATATCAATGAATGTTTTTTCCATTGTAAAGAGGAAGGTCCAGCCAAATGGCCGCCATGGCTGCGCTTGTAGCACCATATCCTTTTCATGAAATTTTCCACGACCAATTCACACATTTGCGGCTGTATGTCCTCGATGACTTCACGAATTCCATCTTTAAGATTTTGAATCGATTGTGGAGCATTGGCATAGACCTTATCTTTCACGTAGCCCCCTAAAAAAATCTAAAGGTGAAGAAAAAGATCACAATATCTCGCTGACCAATTGTGATCACCTCTTCGAGAAATAACACGGTCAAGGAACTTTTATTGCAAGATTGCGATCGTTTCGAGGAGCTGCCGAAAGACATCCGCAAGCTAGAAGCCAATCTAAGGCAGCTAACTGCGATGCTGGCGAACAACCTCGACCCCCCATAACCGGCAACAAAGGAAAAACCTGCCAGTTTTAGTGCAGCAGTTAAGGGGCCACCGGAACCGAAGACTACGACACCCAAAACAGTGCATGTTCGCACCATAAAGCCTGTGTTAGTTATGCCAGCACCGCACAGCACTCCATCAGTCACCACAGGCCCATCCAGCTGCAGCTAGGCATCAGGGACGAATGAAGCGTTCCAGCGCCATTGCACCCAGCCGATGAGATGCGTGAAATGTGGTGAATTCCAGAGAAGCGCAGATTGCCAGCTACCCCGACCAGGTGAAGGGGAGGTCCGCAACTGCAAGTGCGCGCTATGTGGCAACCAAGGGCACTCAGCCAGCTGGAGTGGATGCCCCATGTACCCCAAGAGGAGATTACCTTCGTCCGCAAGGAAGACAGGACAACAACCCAGGGAGGACCACCCCGCTGACGACGCAGGAACAAGGAGCAGCAATGGATAAGAGGTCCTTAGAGCCATTGTCCAGGCGGTAATATCGCGGCTCCATGTCTAAACGGCTGATAGTTTTACAGTAGCGTCTTCAAACGCCAATGGGCTAAGGACTCGCCGTCCAGAACTGGACGAGTTCCTGAACAACAGGAAGCCTAAAGTGGTAGCACTCCAGGAAACTAAGATATCAAGTAATATTAAGATTAATATACCATTATATTATATAAGATCACGAGGTTTACAGGCACAACGATAGCACCCAACGTGGAGGAGTGGCCCTCCTAATTATTTAGCATTTAACACAGCATATGTTTCCGTTTACAGAACCCCTCAGGAAGCCCTAAACCTGCTGGACATCCAGACAATGTTAGGGAGCAACCAAGCAAGGCTGTTGTGTCTTTCACAAGCAAGCAAGACTGTAGAATAGCACGCGTACCTGCAGTAAAGGTCGACTGTTCTCAGAAGCAGTAGATTCACAAGGTGAAGTAATCCTAGGCCCAGAGATCCCGACAAGGAGGGACATGGAGTAGGAGCCACTAAGAGAGTTTCTCACAAGGAAAGCGGCAGTGGACTTTGAGAAAGCTGGACGGCATTCCAATGAAACTTAGTGGACTATACACCTGGGGACCTGTGGCCCAGGAAAAGAGGCCCATACACCAACTGGCCCACTAGGGAAACAGGTTGCAAACGGCGTAAGCTGCAATTGTGCTAATAACGTTATAGTGTTTGCAGTACGTAGCAATACATGTATAAGTTTTAAAGCCTTAAATTAATAAGATGCCCAAGCCGGTATCATGAAGCGAATGCGATGCTATGGCATGCGGATGCCGGAGACAAATTCTTAGAGGATGACGTGCCGCAAAGTAAAATTATTTTTTGTTATTGCTTTTTTCGCCATAAACACCCCTCGCATTCACCCTTAAACTAATGGTGCGCGGTGGCGGACAGTGCGTCCGGGTTAGAGGGTGGTGCGGGGGTGCGGTCGGGAAAAAGGGATCGTACGGTCAGTCCTGTGAATCAGTCCCGAAGGAAACGCGTAAGAAGACAGTCTAGGGTACGCCAAAAAGAAGGCTACCGACGCCACGCCACGCCATTTTGTTTTTTTTTTTTAGTGCTGGATTTCAAGGAAATCCAGTTTTTTCCGGAGCATCCTTGCTCCTTGATCCCCCGGAAAACCGGTGAACCCACCGCGAGACTATTGTGCGCGCCCGGAGACCAGACTATTTGTCCGCCGCGGTACGTGGGACAATTGTGCGCGCCACAGGTACTCGAGCCATAGACTCCCGTAATTTTAGTTTATTTTATATATTATTAATTGTAGTTGGTTGCAGTTCTGTTTGTTCGTTGTTGTTTTGTTGTTTGTTTTGTTTTTTTTTGTTTGCTTTTATTATTGGTAGTTTACATTGCGCGCAGAATCGCGCGCAAGCAGGGGAGTACTACCCAAAACAAGTACCTGGCATCCCTACGCGCCGAACTACAGAGGCGCCCTCTGCTCGCAACTCGAGCGAATGGAGGGGGAATCTACGCGACATGGCATCCCTGGTGGGGACCTCCAAACTCCGCCCGGAGCGCCCAGTTTAGTTTTGGAGCCAAATTCGAAGAGGAGGCGTCCCACGCCAATAACGCTAAATCCCCAGGTTCTGGAGATTCCGAAGAGAATGTACCAGCCCCGACCCACCGT